GTTTGAAGGGCGGGGCAGCCGCTGTAACTATACTGATACCTCAGAACTGATATCTCAAGATGGGTGGCTCATTTACATCGTAGATGTCTATGGGCTCCAGTAACCACTTAATACTAAGTGGGCTGTAAGCTCGTCCACCCAATTAAGTAATAAAAAAAAACAGTCCCGCGTTAGCACCATTTTATCATTTAGAAAAGACGCGTTTTCGTGTTATAAACTCACGGGTCTCAAACCTGACGTTGTTGCTAACACGAACCCTAGCAAGAGTCGTGCTTCACAGAATCTACAACCGGATCGGAACGCGACCCGCTGAGAAGATCCGCCGTGAAACTCAGTGGGCTGTGTCTGTGGGTTCATTTACTCGCCGAGCCCTTCGTCGCATGCGACGGGTTCGACGAGAACGATGACCGGTGCTTGAGGTACCTAAAAGCACCGTTAGTGGATCGGGAGGATCCGAGATGACGTGGTGATTTCACACACACACATATTCGTGAAGAATAAAATGCCGACTAAACTCAATATGTTAATTGAAATAGTTAAAAAAATATTGAGAAAAAAACAAAAAATAAAGCTGAGTTTGTTTCGCCGGTTCTTCTCAGGACTGTGGCTTTTTTTGGAACCGGTGGTAGAGTTAACATTGTTATTTATATTTTGACATTCAACAAGCGTGTTATACCGACATCTAAGTTGAAATAAATGATTGTGAATCGGTTTATATCTTGCGTCTTCGTAAATTTTTTTTTTTTTTGCCCTTGTATGCCGACGAGCATACGGCCCACCTGATGGTGAGTGGTTACCGTTGCCCATGGACTTCAGCAATGCCAGGGGCAGAGTCAAGCCGCTGCCTACCGCTTAATACTCTCCACAAGCCTCGTTTGAAGAAGGACATGTCATAGCGCTCGGGAAACACCACGGAGGGGAGCTCATTCCATAGCCGGATGGTACGTGGCAAAAAAGATCTCTGGAAACGCACTGTGGATGACCGCAGTGGCTCCAGGTAGTATGGATGAACTCTACTCCGGTGGCGGGCGGTGCGATGGTAAAAACGAGATGCCGGTATCATCTCGAACAATTCCTCAGAGCATTAATTCATCTTTCCATTTCTTAATTCACAGGAGATCGTTGGAAAACAACGAGCGGATACATTCGAGTGATCTCGGAATGTTAAAATACATATTCTTATTACACAATAGAGCGAAAACAGAACTATTATCCGAAATACGGATGTTGTATCGTTCGCTAAATCAACATAATATTCAAAATGGTTTTTCGAGGCGGCCACAAGCGTATAGTAATGGCATGGCGAAGCAAAAAGCACAGAGTGTGTTCTTGGATCGCAATGAGGTCGATGAATTGAAAGGCATTCTGGGGTTATTGGCAAATTCTTTGTATGACGTAAGTTTTATTTATTTATTGCTTAGATGGGTGGACGAGCTCACAGCCCACCTGGTGTTAAGTGGTTACTGGAGCCCATAGACATCTAGAACGTAAATGCGCCACCCACCTTGAGATATAAGTTCTAAGGTCTCAAGTATAGTTACAACGGCTGCCCCGCCCTTCAAACCGAAACGCATTACTGCTTCACGGCAGAAATAGGCAGGGTGATGGTACCTATACTATAGTATGTCAGAATATTTAGACGATAACTTTAGATGATAAAGTAGAATAATTTAAGTTTTATTTTTTATTTTTGTGTAGATTAAACTTACACCTAATATTTGTACGCTTTACTAGCAGGACATAGTGATACATTTATCGACATTAGCTTATTAATCTTTGTTAAACTATGACCACAAATAATAATAAAATAAATAAATAAATAAAAAAAACGCCATCTAGTTGCGAACAGCATATTCCTTTTTTGTAATGCTGAAATTATCAGCAGTAAGCAACGTGCAAACATTTTATTTCAAACAAAAGGACATGATTAACAATCTTATCTCTTATCATCATAATTCGTAGAGCTTCAAATACATTACCGCTTTTCTGTTCACGGAAAGCAACACAATTTTTATTTTATATACATATAGCGCCATCTAGTATCAAATAGCGAATTTAAAGGTTTGTCCGCTTCTAAAATTTCAGCTCCACGACGCGTTGAAATACATTTCGATCGTGACAAAATCCAACAAACAGAGATGGTATGAGAACTTGGAAGAGCTATACATAAGGAATACTAAGAAACAATTACTAGAGATTCTCGTTCATATATTCGCGAATGAGTTTGTGGATTTAGTCGAAGAGGGCTTGCAAAATGGCGCCAACGAGGATTCGAAGAGCTACCTGATATATCATGGCGAGCACGTCAATAACACAGTCAATATTTACCTTACTTTAATGAAATTATTGCGAAAGTTTATCAAATTGAAGATTTTGTAATACTTTAAATAGCTAGAAAGACATAGCGATATTTAGGTCAAATTAATATTTATAAAAAGTAAGTATATGTGTGTATGTTATATATATGTGTGTGTGTGTGTGTGTGTATTTTTATGTATATATATTGTTTTGTATCTTGTAATATGTATATATTATTATATGTAATGTTTACTGTATGCACTAGGTTCGTGTTCCTAATTCTTCTTTCCTTTTGCGGGCCTACTGGAAGAGATTTCAATATGAAATAACTAGTGCCCTTGTACTCTGTATCCTTATTGACGTGTCTTTTCTAACAGCTGTGTGTACAAAATATATTAAATAAAATAAAAAATAAATAAATTTATTACTGTTAGGGTTTATTTAGAGATTTTTTTGACAATTCTATTCCAAGACGTCCACTGTTAGACATAGGTATCACCCAAGCTACGGCACAAAGATCAGTCCTGCGCTGCTTGCAATGTGTTAGATATAATATAAAGCTTCAATAGACAGTAAAACAAACATAAATGACTATATTGAAAGCGCCTGGGTATCAACATACGCACTGTTCGAACTTTTAAGCTGCAAAATTAAAGCTTATTTTACGTCTTAATTACGCATTTATATTTGTTACTAGCTGACCCGGCAGACTTCGTAGTGCCTCAATCGATAAATAAAAGACCTAAACTTTTGTATAAAATAAACTTAAAACAAACAAAATGAATCCCCGTCCGACGGGGGACACATCAAAGGGAAAACAAAATTGTTATTTTTATTTAATTCCGAGCATTTTCATATTTATCTACCTTTTAAACCTTCTCTGGACTTCCACAAATAATTCAAGACCAAAATTAGCCAAATCGGTACAGCCGTTCTTGAATTTTAGCGAGACTAACGAACAGCAATTCATTTTTATATATATAGATAGATAGATAGAGGGGTCAAAGATTTGGCTTAAGTGACATTTTGTCAACTTTACCGGAGAGCCATTTTAAGTGTAAAAATTAAAAAAAATTATCATAACAATAAAACTTCTTCAGCTATTTGATTGGAGTAAACTTAATTGAAGTTCAATTAAAAACATTGAATTGTTAATACCAAATAGAACGCACCTTTAATTATAAAGATAAATGTGACGTATTAAGCGAAATGTCGCTTAGACCAAATAGTTTTTCACCCCTCGACATTAATTCTGTCGTTTGCAAATGACGAGAGTAAATTGTAAGAAAAGCTTTTGTTTGCGACTCACGCACAATATAGAAATTATTAATTGCATGTATAATGAAAAAAAATATAAATAAAAACTTCAAAGGTGTCAAGGGACACCCGGATGGAACGAAGTTCCTTTCGATTAATTAGTGAAGGAATTGTAATTTTTTTTTAAGTTATAATAATAAATTACGGCATTATGAAGAAGAAAAAAACAATACTATGAACTAAATTACTATTGTTGAAACGCTATCTCGAGAAACTGTACTCATTACGTGGACCAATCGGATACGAGCAATGTCACGCGATAAGCGCCTACACGTTGATTGGTCAGAATGACGGATCTAAAAAGTGTTGTGACAACTTTTCGTAAGAATTTTTTCCGTCTAGCCCCCTTTCACAACGCGCGATAAGGAACTTCGTTCCAAAACTTCGTTCCAATAAATAAGTCGATTTTTTTTTGTAGTTGTTCGTACTATATCTCCTTGTCCCACAGACACAGCCCACTGAGTTTCTCGCCGGATCTTCTCAGTGGGTCGCGTTTCCGATCCGGTGGTAGATTCTGCGTAGCACGGCTCTTGCTAGGGTTCGTGTTAGCAACACTCCGGTTTGAGCCCCGCGAGCTCACCTACTAGTTAAGGTTACGCTAAAGAGAGGTAGGATAAAAAAAAATCTCCTTGCAATATTTTGATACAAGTTGTCCACGCTCCAAACAAATATTAAGTCAGTTTGTGGAAGTGAAGTTATATTTTATTTTTAGTCCGACAATAATTTGATAAAATATTTGAAGATTTATAAAAAGGCGCTAAAGTCGTGATTTTTAAGGGATTTTATGACCTGGTAACTAAGACCTTTAGGTCAAGTCTTATTTTAATTTGAATGAAAACTTTTTTATATAAAAAATCATATTATAAAATGAAATGAAGTTGATTAATATAAAATATGGCGTGAAATGAACGAAAATGAAATGGAATGATATGAGATGATATGGGATGAAATATCATCTCAGAAAAATTGTGGTCATTAACTAAGACTTTTTCAGTGGACTTTTTTAGGTCCCGAGAAGCTACGTTCAGCGACTTTGTTTCATTTTCCCACATTTGTGCACTTTCACAGATATTAAACAGTTAATTAACCACTGTTATTACACATTTAAATCTGAAGAAACACGAAATAGACAAAATAAAACAAATCACACAACTTCACTCCTCGCGTTCCCGCCAAAAAGTCCAGTCGTGATTGAGTGAAAAATGCACAGATAATATAAAAAAATGAGGATATGCTTTCCGTTTCACGCTGTGAAGATCTTGAGCACATGAAATAGAGAAACAAAAATACTCAAACGGCAAACTTTATTTATTATATTCTAAAATACCTATACTATAGTAAAATCTATACTAAAATCACAATTTCACAAATTGTTTTTTAAACTATAATTATTATGCCTCTCTATGTATATGTATACATAATTATAATCTATATTTATAATATTTACGTTATATTACATTTCAAAACACATAATATTAAAACTTTGGAATGACATTATTTATCGCCCATGTCTTCAGACGAACTTTAAGGCCGATGTTAAGTAATGACCGCCGCTCACAGACCTCAAAAACTTTAGAGCTGACACTAAAAAAATCGGAGAAATTTCTGACAAAAAGTATAAAAACATTTTATTCGTAGTTGTTACAAAATTGGCACAGTCGCGCGGACCTGTTAAGTTCCCTCACACGTACCTTAATAAGTTTGACAGATATTACTGTTATGAAATGACTTTGGCAAAACAGCGTGATATATTTTAGTGGGGTTGCTGTATTTACATAATCTTTTAGTGTTTGAGACGATCAGACACGGCTTTATTCTAAATAGTCACACGTAACACAACCGGTAACAATATGAACGGGGTCTTTGAGTATCGAAAGATTTACGCTTCCGTTTCTAATTCTGCTTCTATCTCTTCTGGTGTTCTTAGGTCTATGGCGAACCTCTTCTTCATGGTCGGCAGTTTGTCTTCTATCTCTGGAACGGGAAGGGCTTTGTAAAGTTTAATGAATGAAGATGCCAGTGGTTTTAAGAAAGTTTTTCCGGGAAAAAAATCGATAATATGCAGTTGAATATTGACTTGCTTTGTGGTAAATAGTTTAGGTTTTATTTATTCTTGATGTTAATAAAATCTATGAACTAACCCGGCTGCGCTTGCATCTCCTTGACTCGCCTCGAGTAATCTTGGAAGGCGGCTGCCAAGGAATAAGTCAATCTTCTAGCGGCGTTCCTGCCAACAAAATCAGATTGAAATTATATCGAGGCCATTACAAGTGAATCTCTTCGAGCCCTATTCGAGATAGAACTAAAAATGGTGTCTTTGCAAATTGGTTTGGCAATATATATTTTTTTGTTTTTTTTTAAACCTATGCTGATAGCCTTGAGAGGCTGTTTCAGCTTTGCCCTAACGTGTGTAGGTGAGCTCACGGGGCTCAAGTCGGAGTGTTGCTAACACTGGCCCTAGCAAGAGCAGTGCTTCGCAGAATCTACCACCGGATCGGAAACGCGACCCACTGAGAAGATCCGGCGAGAAACTCAGTGGGCTGTGTCTGTGGGCTAATTCGCTCGTCGAGCCCTTCGTCGCAAGCGACGGGTTCGACGAGGACGGTGACCGGTGCTTGTGGTGCCCAAAAGCACCGTTAATGGATCAAACGGCAATATAATATTCGCTGTGTTCAGAAGCGGAGAGTGTAGCGACATCTATTGACCACTAAAAGAATCGCAGTAGTGACATCTATCGACAAATAAAAAGTACAGATAGCTAATAGAATAATACATCCATCGGCTAATAGAAGCATTTTGAAACTCACTAGTAAATATAAAGAATACAGCTTAGTTTGTCTTTTATCGATGCTTTCGTGTATAGTTTATATTATATTTAGTTCATGGATAGGCCGTTCTGCCTATTTCTATCGCGGAATAGTAATACTATCCGATTCGAAGGATGGAGTGGTTCAGAACACAATGGAGACTTCCTGCTCGTAGCCGGACGTGGTAACGGCTCCGGTAGCCACTTAATATCAGGTAGGCCGTGAGCTCGTTCTAATTCTAGCAGAAAATAGAAATAATAAATAATAAAAAAATAAATATTTACTAACGATCACGCCACGTTAACTGGTCCCGTGATAAGTTCGTAAAGAACTTGTGTTACAGGTACCACGGAAATAAATGTAAGATTTTTATTATACACATACATATATTTAATATACATCCATAACCCTGGAAAAGACATTTTATTTTTATCATACAAATATCTTCCCCTGGCGGGATTCGAACCCGCGACCCCTTATTAGAAATACTTCTAATAGCCGCGTGCAACTTTATCTAGATTGAACTTCGTCATCAGAACTTTCTCACGTAACACTTTCCAGATTTCAGATAACTTATCGTGATAAACGTAAAATTCCGTAATATGTCTTTACTTTATTTGTTCAACCTATATTCAATCTGAGGTTTGATGTTGGCACATGTCATCTATATATTAATACGTGAAGCAAAAACTTTGTATCCCTTTTTACGAAAATTGCGCGGACGGAGGAGTATGAAATTTTCCACACTTATAGAGAATATAGAGAAGAAGTGCACAATGCTAATTTTTTTTTTAAATGATGCATAAAAAATACATTAAATCAATAAAGAAAACATTACACACACTACATGCCATGTATTTGACGCACACACGCATGCATACTATTTATTGTCAAACTTTTGTTCTTGACGTCTGTTGTCAAATTGAGAATAGAATATGGTTTGTCTTTGTTAATATTTTTTATAGTGTAGCCTTGGCGAAATTTGTGATTATAGAAGTACAATCATAATAGTGTACAAACTTACAATTTCAATTAATTATAGTCGAATTTCGACTACTGCGGGATATCTAGTTTTTTTTAGAAATACAAAAACATCTTGTAATAAAAATAAGACCCACAAAAATATAATTTGCGTAATTACTGGTGGTAGGACGTGTTGTGAGTCCGCGCGGGTAGGTACCACCACCCTGCCTATTTCTGCCGTGAAGCCGTAATGCGTTTCGGTTTGAAGGGTGGGGTAGCCGTTGCAACTAAATAAACTGAGATCTTGGCACTTATATCTCAAGGTGGGTGGCGTATTTACGTTGTAGATGTCTATGGGCTTCAGTAACCACTTAACACCAGGTGGGCTGTGAGCTCGTCTACCCATCTAAGCAATAAAAAAAATATATATGTGCAAGTCAGTCGAGAAAGAACCTTCTCTTTTTTGTCGATGCCTAAAACGATCCTTTAGTCTACTTTTTTCCAGCTACGTGCACCGGTAGGTGAGCTCACAGGTTCAACCTAACAGAATTTGCTAACACTGGCCCTAGCAAGAGCAGTGCTTCGCAGAATCTACCACCGGATCGGAAACGCGACCCACTGAGAAGATCCGGCGAGAAACTCAGTGGAGAATCTCACCTCGATTCACAAACGAAGGCGTGGCATTCGAAAGGATTCAGTCCTTTGATATCAGCGTTATCCTTAACGATGATCATGGAGAAGACCCTCGTGTAGACCAGGTCTTGGACGCCATATGATATGCTCTCGATGTTAAAGAATACGGCCATATGCTCGAAGTCGTCTTGTTTCGTGCCATGGTTTATGGTCTCCAAGTGGACTCCGTCAGGAGTAATCGTGAGTTTTACCAGAGGCAGGATCTGGCCTGAAATAAAGTAATCTTTAGGACAATACCAATAGGCACTTTGAATAGGCGACGAGGCAAACAAAACCGAGTCTAATTAAAATGGTTATGTAGTCCATATTGTTAACACGCTGTTAATGGCTCTTCCTGTAATCTGGTGATAGGACTTCTTGTGAGTCCGCACGCGTAGGTACCACCACCCCGCCTATTTCTGCCGTGAAGCAGTAATGCGTTTCGGTTTGAAGGGTGGGGCAGCCGTTGTTACTACACCTTAGAATTTATATCCCAACGTGGCGCATTTACGCTGTAGATGTCTATGGGCTCCAGTAGCCACTTCACACGAGGTGGGCTGTGAACTCGTCCCCCAAACTGCCGTGAAGCAGTAATGCGTTTCGGTTTGAAGGGTAGAGCAGCCGTTGTAACTATACTGAGACCTTAGAACTTATAATCTCAAGGTAGGTGGCGCATTTACGTTGTAGATGTCTATGGGCTCCAGTAACCACTTAACACCAGATGGGCTGTGAGCTCGTCCAGCAATCTAAGCAATAAAAAAAATCTACGACTGTTTACTCCTTTTGTCGACTGGTAGAGAATGCCTTAGGCATGCCAATCTAGATTTTACATGAATTTTAATAACTAAATAAATAAATAATATACTCGGGAGGACGTAAGGGTCAAATAATGTTCACATACCCGGAGGTAGAGCTTTCGCTGCAGCCACCATGAGATCCACTGGTTTCCTGGTGTGCTTGATGCCCCACAACCCTCGCGCGTCGCTCTGTCCGAGGTACTTCACCTAGAAGTTAGAATAATACAAGATTATTAAAACAAGGGCAATAAAAAAAAAGGACTAAGTTGGAGACAAGATGAAATTTAAGGTCCGACCGTATTTAAAAATGGTGAATTCGTCGCTGTCAAACCAAAATCTATGATATGTGCAAAAACTTGTATTTTGAATTAACGAGTAAAAACATCTATCTATCTATATATTAATACGTGAAGCAAAAACTTTGTATCCCTTTTTACGAAAACTGGGCGGACGGAGGAGTATGAAATTTTCCGCACTTATAGAGAATATAGAGAAGAAGTGCACAATGCTAATATTTTTTTTAAATAATGTATAAAAGATACATTAAATCAACAAAGAAAACATTACACATACTACATACCATGTATTTGACGCACACACGCATGCATACTATTTATTGTCAAACTTTTGCTCTTAACGTATGTTGTCAAATTGAGAATAGATTAAAATATATTGTTTGTCTTTGTTAAAAATTTTTATAGTGTAGTCTTGGCGAAATTTGTGATTATAGAAGTATATAATACAATCTTAATAGTGTACAAACTTACAATTCCAATTAATTATAGTCGCATTTCGATTACGGCGGGACCTCTAGTATACATAAAAATGAATTGCTGTTCGTTAGTCTCGCTAAAACTCGAGAACGGCTGGACCGATTTGACTAATTTTGGTCTTTAATTATTTGTGGAAGTCCAGAGAAGGTTTAAAAGGTAAATTAATATGAAAATACTCGGAATTAAATAAAAATAACAATTTTTTTTTCCCTTTGATGTGTCCCCCGTCGGGCGGATTCCTTATGTTTGTTTTAAGGTAATTTTATACAAAAGTTTAGGTCTTTTATTTATCGATTGAGGCACTACGAAGTCAGCTAGTTTTCTTATAAAATTTTATATGAAGGTGAATTTTTAAGAACTATATCAAATGAACACTATAGATAAATATTAAAGCTATAAATACATAATAGTTTTTTAACTATACGAAAAGGTCAAAAAGTAAAAAATCAAAATTGGCACATAGCAGATTTTGGTTTGACAACGACGAATTATTGTCTTTTGTTAATGTCTAATTCATAATATCTATTCTGGATTCTTTTATTATCCTAGTAGGCAGACGAGCGTACGGCCCGCCTGATGTTGAGTGATTACAGTCGCCCATGGACTTCAGCAATGCTCACTGGTGGTAGGACCTCTTGGGAGTCCGCACGGGTAGGTACCACCACCCCGCCTATTTCCGCCGTGAAGCAGTAATGCGTTTCGGTTCGAAGGGTGGGGCAGCCGTTGTAACTATACTGAGACCTTAGAACTTATATCTCGAGGTGGGTGGCGCATTTACGTTGTAGATGTCTATGGGCTCCAGTAACCACTTAACANCTCTTGGGAGTCCGCACGGGTAGGTACCACCACCCCGCCTATTTCCGCCGTGAAGCAGTAATGCGTTTCGGTTCGAAGGGTGGGGCAGCCGTTGTAACTATACTGAGACCTTAGAACTTATATCTCGAGGTGGGTGGCGCATTTACGTTGTAGATGTCTATGGGCTCCAGTAACCACTTAACACCAGGTGGGCTGTGAGCTCGTCCAACCATCTAAGCAATAAAAAATAAAAAAAAAATATGCAGAGCCAAGCCGCTGCCTACCATAATATGAGAATGGTATCAAATATTACCTTTGTTGGTTAATTACTCTCGACGCCAGAACGTTAGCCTACGCTTGCCGCTAGGGGCGCTGTTCCAACTCCAAATTTGAGTTAACTTTTACGCTATCGAGAACGTTAAAACACTCGCACTAAGCACACTGGATGAACAAACGCGTATTCTGTATTCATAAGGTGACCTCACATCCGTTACAAAATGGCATGCGTTCCGCTCCAAATCCATACATTAGCATTGTCCATTTTCTGTCTATCTATATTTTAAAATGTTTTATTCGAAAAGGACTGTCGAAATATTAGGACACGAACAGTTCTATGAAATGTTTCATTACATATCGAGATTACATACTTTTTTTTTTTATTGCCATGCCCTCTATGGGCTCCAGTAACCACTTAACACCAGGTGGGCTGTGAGCTCGTTCACCCATCTAAGCAATAAAAAAAACATATATAGTGAACTGGGAAATACGAATCCGAAGACACCGACAATGAATCTATTTCTATGAGAACTAGTAGTCCCCTGGTAGTCGAAATTCGACTATAATTAATTGAAATTATAAGTTTGTACACTATTATGATTGTATTTTCAAAGACTAGTATACTTCTATAATCATAGACTTCGCCAAAAATACACTTTAGACAAATATTAATAAAGAAACAATATTTAATCTATTCTCAGTTTGACCAAAGACTTTAAGCAAAAAGAAAAGTTTGACATTAAACAAATAGTGTGCATGCGTGTGTGTGTCAAACACATGGTATTGTGTGTAATGTTTTCTTTATTGTATTAATGTATCTTTTATGCATTATTNCTATTTCTATGAGAACTAGTAGTCCCCTGGTAGTCGAAATTCGACTATAATTAATTGAAATTATAAGTTTGTACACTATTATGATTGTATTTTCAAAGACTAGTATACTTCTATAATTATAGACTTCGCCAAAAATACACTTTAGACAAATATTAATAAAGAAACAATATTTAATCTATTCTCAGTTTGACCAAAGACTTTAAGCAAAAAGAAAAGTTTGACATTAAACAAATAGTGTGCATGCGTGTGTGTGTCAAACACATGGTATTGTGTGTAATGTTTTCTTTATTGTATTAATGTATCTTTTATGCATTATTTTAAAAAAATATTAGCATTGTGCACTGCTTCTCTATATTCTCTATAAGTGTGGAAAATTTCATACTCCTCCGTCCGCGCAATTTTCGTAAAAAAGGATACAAAGTTTTTGCTTCACGTATTAATATATAGATTAAAATGCTGAAACATACATTAAAAAACAAAAGTAAGCTAGGTTAGGTAATGTTGGGAAATCCAGGAGCTTAATAACCGAAATCGAGGTAATTACTTCATAAATGGCAGTCAAAGGGTTAAACCTCCCGAGAATAACCTCGGCTTCTCTAAATGAATGACCCGTTTGTGGAACGATCTGCTTCAATTGACCTTACGATTAAAAGGTCAAGTGATGCTCTTGGTAGAGTGACTTATAAAGCGAATTAGGAGGTTTTCTGACATCCGGGAAGCTAGGGTTCCACTTGCAGATATTCGTCAAAGTATCACACGTTGCATTTCAATGGCCCCACCTGGTGTTAAGTGGTTACTGGAGCCCATAGACATCTACAACGAAGATGTCACCATCTACTTTGAGATATACTTTCTAAGGTCTCAGTATAGTTACAACGGCTGCCCCACCCTTCAAACCGAAACGCATTACTGCTCACGGCAGAAATAGGCGGGGTGATGGTACCTACCACCATAAAANCACGTATTAATATATAGATTAAAATGCTGAAACATACATTAAAAAACAAAAGTAAGCTAGGTTAGGTAATGTTGGGAAATCCAGGAGCTTAATAACCGAAATCGAGGTAATTACTTCATAAATGGCAGTCAAAGGGTTAAACCTCCCGAGAATAACCTCGGCTTCTCTAAATGAATGACCCGTTTGTGGAACGATCTGCTTCAATTGACCTTACGATTAAAAGGTCAAGTGATGCTCTTGGTAGAGTGACTTATAAAGCGAATTAGGAGGTTTTCTGACATCCGGGAAGCTAGGGTTCCACTTGCAGATATTCGTCAAAGTATCACACGTTGCATTTCAATGGCCCCACCTGGTGTTAAGTGGTTACTGGAGCCCATAGACATCTACAACGAAGATGTCACCATCTACTTTGAGATATACTTTCTAAGGTCTCAGTATAGTTACAACGGCTGCCCCACCCTTCAAACCGAAACGCATTACTGCTCACGGCAGAAATAGGCGGGGTGATGGTACCTACCACCATAAAAAACGTTATAGTGAGCCAACCTTAATATACAGACATATGCTGTCGCGGACTTTTTTTTAGATCTTTTAAAGGGGAATAATTCTGTCTTACATTATTTTAGCGAAACTTTAACCGTTTCCGCAGCGCACGCAGCGGAAGCTCTCAAAAGGGAATAAACCCCGATTTTGAAACTGAAAGGTAGGTAGGTAGGTACTACCTACCCATGCGGACTCACAATACGTCCTACCACCAGTAATTACGCAAATTACAATTTTGCAAGTTTGATTTTTATTACACGACGTTACTCCTTCACCGTGGAAGTAAATTGTGAAAATTTAAGTACGTATTTCATTAAAAAATTGGTACCCGCCTGCGGGATTCGAGCCCCGGTGCATCGCTACGTACAAATTAACCGGACGTCTTATCCTTTAGGCCACGACGACTTCAACGATGAGTATGATCTCATATCTCAAGATGGGTGGTAGCGTTGTGGTCACTCTGAGAACCACTTAACACATTGCACCTATTAAGTTGATTCATATGTGCAATAAAAAATAATGAAGCGCTTGCAATTTGGTACACGAGAAAAAAGTGGAACTTAGAACCGTAATAGTGTACAAACTTATAATTTCAATTAATTATAGTCGAATTTTGACTACCACTAGTCTCTATATATAAAAATGGATTGCTGTTCGTTAGTCTCGCTAAAACTCAAGAACGGCCGAACCGATTTGGCTAATTTTGGTCTTGAATTGTTTGTGGAAGTCCACAGAAGGCTTAAAAGGTAGATAAATATGAAAATGCTCGAAATTAAATAAAAATAACAATTTTGGTTTTCCTTTGATGTGTCCCCCGTCGGACCGATTCTTTTTGTTTGGTTAAAGTTTATTTTATACAAAAGTTTAGGTCTTTTTTTATTTATCAATTGAGGCACTACGAAGTCTGCCGGGTCAGCTAGTATTATATAAATCATCTAGTATCGCAATGGAAGTCGACGGTGGATCTAGTTTAGTTACTATTTCTTGTCTTTTTTTTATTGCATAGATGGATGGACGAGCTCACAGCCCACCTGGTGTTAGTTAAGTGGTTACTGGAGCCCATAGACATCTACAACGTAAATGCGCCACCCACCTTGAGATATCAGTTGTAAGGTCTCAGTATAATTACAACGGCTGCCCTACCATTCAGATTGGGGTGTTATTTCTTGAAATCGAATTCTCTAGAAGTCGTCCATACCTGAAACGTCAATGGTAGATCATCTACCGTCACAGGACCTTCGTTCTCAGCCATTTTCCACGTAAAATTCACATAACTCGATATAGGGTTGTCTTAAAGAACTCGGACATCTGAAACAAATATAAAAATTAGGCGCGATCCTTGTAAGAAAATATGATTTTATTGGAAACTGTAATTTATTCTTCACTATTTAATGGATGTTATTATACATATAAAACTTCTTCTTGAATCACTCTGTCTATTAATAAAAACCGCATCAAAATCCGTTGCGTAGTTTTAAAGATTTAAGCATACATAGGGATATAGGGACAGAGAAAGCGACTTTGTTTTATACTATGTAGTGAAAGCGCGGAGTGCTTTTCAGGATATTATCAAAATAACCTTTCTACTCATATCTGTTCATAAAAAAATTATAACTACTGATACCGTGCACCCCACGGTTTTTTTACAATAAATTCATTTTATCTTACACTATTTCTAATTAAAATTTATTAAAATTTATTTTCTATTTTTTAGTTGGATTTTCTATAAAAGCGTTTTTTTTTTAACTATTACCTATTTATTTTTCATTTTTTAGTTGAATTTAAATAGTTTATTATTTTTGTTTTCTTTTTTTTTTAATAATTTCATCTGAATCTGAAACTCAGCGTGCTGATTCATGGGTTAGATTGCACGTCAACCTTTTTTACCTTTGTTTACCGAGTTCGACGCGTACGGTTACCGGGGTCCCTAAGCCTGCTCCTAGTATTAGAGCTGACGGTGACTAATGCAAAGGTAATTGGATCTGATGGACCCGTAAGGTCGTGTCTAGGGCTATTGCTCTTTTAGACGAGACTCTGGTGTTCATGGGCATCAACAACGGAAACGCCGCCACCCACTTCAAAACAGAAGTTCTAGTTCTCTGTTTTACAGTACAACGGTTGCCTCGCCTATACCAAAACGCATTACTGCTTCACGGCCGAAATAGCCAGGCTGGTGATACCTACCCGTGCTATGCCAAGATTCTCTGCTACCAGTAAAGTCTTTAATATTGAACAATCGCTTTAGTAAATTACACCTGAGTCTCGATCGAGCCAAGGTCGCGGCGTTACGAGATAAAATCGAACAATAACGGCTTACACAAGTGTTATCTTGCGTCGTTTTGTAACAATGTGTCATTAAGTTGAATGTTACTTGTAATATTTAGTGTAGTGGTGAAATATACACTTTGAGAATGCGGCACGACACGAAAACCCTCTTGTTGTGGCCTGTGGACCGAATGGTAAACAGTCGACGTCGTCCTAAACACGTCATTTCGGATCTTCCCGATCTATGAACGGTGCTTTTAGGTACCTCAAGCACCGGTCACCGTCCTCGCCGAACCCGTCGTTGTGACGAAGGACTCGACAAGTAAATTAAAGCAGTAATGCGTTCCGGTTTGAAGGGTGGGGTAGCCGTTGTAACTATACTGAGACCTTATATCGCATTTACGTCGTAGATGTCTATGGGTTCCAGTAACTACTTAACCCCAGGTGGGCTGTGAGCTCGTCCACAAATCTAAGCAAAAAAAAAATTAAAAAAAAGTGTAGACGCTTTGGTGTGAAAACTGATTGATTACTTATTCGTAACGACGACATATTTACAGTAATTAAAATCGATACCACTCATTTATGTTAAAATGATTATTTTATTAGTGTTTTTCAACCCGTGTCCATCCAGAGTTTTTTTTGTCCTATCTATTGTGATAGCGTCGAGCTCTACTATTTTAGCTGGCTCGGTTATTTTAGCTTCACCCTAGCTTGTAGGTGAGCCCACGGGGCTCAAACCGGGAGTGTTGCTAACATTGGCTCTAGCGAGAGCAGTGATTCGCAAACTCTACCACCGGATCGGAAACCGAGTGTAGATCTCTTCAAATGCTCTCTCAAACTCCATTCTTTTCGATTTATTGCCTTTATTTTTTTTTAAGGGATTTTATGACCTGGTAACTGAGACCTTTAAGTCATGTCTTATTTTAAATTATATTCATATTTTTATGAAAAATGATATTATGGAGTGAAATGAAATGAAGACATAAAATGAGACATTAATCAACTGGGATGAAATTAAATGAAATGGGATGAAATATAATCTCAGTAAAATGGTGGTCATTTACTAAGATAATTTCAGTGGACTTTTTGGAGGATCCCGAGAAGTTACGTCCAGCGGCTTTGTTTCATTTTTCCACATTTGTGCACTTTCACAGATATTAAACAGTTAATAAACCACCATTATTACACATTTAAACCTGAACAAACACTAAATAGACAAAATAAAACAAATCACACAACTTCACTCCTCGCGTTCCCGCCAAAAAGTCCTCTTGCCTTTACTTATTAAAATGTTGCCCACTTAAAGCGAATAAATAGTCAATACATCTCTACAATCAATGCCGACTATTCGAGTCAATGCAATTCGCGCTATCTTATTGTTGTATAGTTATTAGCTTAAACGAAAATCGAATTCAACAAGAATATTAATATATACATCGAACATTTTGCAACGATCCGAACGGTGTTATACGCGATGCAGCCACCACTACAAATAAATAGTATTTATTTAGTAATAAAACTGATTTCATTTGTCTTCTCTGGACGTTTGAAAGAGTGACAAAGTGGCCATAGATAATACACATAAATTAGTTATAGATAAGCAACTCAAGCACTCAACAAAAATGCTTACGGGCGTCAGGCACTAGATGGCTTCGCTTCGATTAGTTTCTCATTGCTCCTGTAGATGGCAGTAACATATTACCTATCCTATATTTTATTTTAAATGAAGGATTTTGTCAATTTTCAGAAACCACAAATTGATAAAATTTAATCAATTTGTCTATAACAAATAAAGACTTATATGAATTTTTTTATTTTTATTTTCTGTGTTTAGTTGTGCAATAATTAAATGCCTTAACTTTAACAACATACAAGTTTAGGGGTATCTGCTACAAGATGTCGCTAGTTTCCATAAAAAAATATATTTAAATCAATTTATTACTTCGATTGTTTATTTTGTTCACATCAAATGTATAAGCGGTTCCAACACAATTAACGATGGCTCCGTGATTGATTAATAACTTCATATTAAAATCTGTTTGTGGTGAGAACTTATTTTCTCTTCTTTGGTCACGTTACGGGTAGCATTTCACACTTTTTTTTAGCATAAATCTTATTCATGTTCGGATATAAAAGTCGCGATCTCAACGTGACTTTTAGTACATTACTACTATTATGTATTAAATTTGTGTATGGGCTTTATGAGTGCTGAATTTGAGCTCATTTTTAATACGCTTTTATTAGCTTCAGACGTATGTATGTTAGTATGTAACGGAATCTTTGAACATGATTTTGACCCCCTTCAAAACGTCGGATTAACTCGAAATTTGGCATACTTATTCAGAACCCATAACAATTCAATATTTAAAAAATAAATTGAAAAAATTGAAGTGCGACTAAAAAATGAAAAATAAATAATAATTTAAAAAAACACAAAAAAATACGCAACCCAACAAAAAAAAAAAATTTTTTTTTAATAAATTTGAATTAAAAATTATGTAAGAAAAAATGATTTTATTATTAAAAAAGCGTGGGATGCATGGTATCAGTAGTTAGAAATATTTTATGAACACATATGAGTAGAAGGGTTATTTTGATAATATCTTGAAAAGCACCCCATTAGTTTTGCAATAGTTGGATTTTCTCTAAAAGCGTATTTTTTAAGTTATTTTAAACTATTATTTATTAAACATAAAGTAATGGATTTGTGAGCCTTTTGAGCCATTACTACTGAAACAGTTAGGAACACAGTAGAATCTAGTGTAGTCTGACTACGTTTAGGTAATATGTAATTCTCATAAATAATATGTAGCTTCACCATGCATTTAGGATTAATGTTTCTTGACTCGGACCTGACTTTTTTGATTATCGAAATTGCGCTAATGAAAATGTCTTCTTCACGGTACTGATGTGAGATCTCGCCACGTTTCAACATGAATAGCATTGCTCGTTCCCGTATAAACGCGTCCAAATTAACACACACACTGCAACATCTTATGTGTATGTGAAAGCGCTCTTTCACAACGAATGACATTTCGCATGTTTCATATTAAAATAGACGCTGACTTAATAAGCGGTTGTAACGAATAGATAATTTGTTTATCTTGTTGCGTCGTTTTAAAGATAAAACTGCGGACGGCTCGTTGGAAGTGCCTCCGTTTTCGAGAGATCGTTTGATTGATAAATAAGTGATGATTAAAATGTCGTACCCGATCCTGTGGACCGAATGGTAAACAGTCGACGTCACCCAAAACACGTCATTACGGATCCTCCCGATCCATTAACGGTGTTTTAGGTACCACAAGCACCGGTCATCGTCATCGCCGAACCCGTCGCTTGCGACGAAGGGCTCGACGAGTAAATTAACTCATAGACACAGCCCACTGAGTTTCTCGCCGGATTTTCTCAGTGGGTTGCGGTTCCGATCCGGTGGTAGATTCTGCGAAGCACGGCTCTTGCTAGGGTTCGTGTTAGCAACGTCATCAGGTTTGAGCCCGTGAGCTCACCTACTAGTTAAGGTTACGCTGAAATAGTCTCTCAAGGCTATCGACAGGACAGGGCTTGTTGGATCAATGTGGGAGACGTCAAAGAAGATATATCTTCGGATGACATTACCCAGAAGACCGATGCTCATAATGCTGATGTCTGGAACTCGGATGTCGGTTACATTATCTTGAAATTGTCGTTACCGCGATTCATATTTAAGATCTTTTGACTTTAATTATCTAGATATTTTATTATCTAGATCCTGATTCCATTTACATTTTATTTAATACTAGCTGACCCGGCAGATTTCGTAGTGCCTCAATCGATAAATAAAAGACCTAAACATTTGTATAAAATAAACTTAAAACAAACAAAAGGAATCCGTATCAGCTTATCAGGATATCAGCTTAGGCAGTAATTTAAAAAAATAATTAATAATAGAATGGAATTTCGCATTGCCTTAGACCTCTGGGGCATAGCCCCTTGAGGTTACCAGCAGTAGATAGGCAATCAAAAAGTTTGTATTGAATTCTATGGTAGTGAAATTGAGTGAAATCGACGGAACCGTGAAATTATTTTCCTATAAAGGTTTTTGTTGATTATTTTTTGTTTAGACGAGTGAGCCTACGTACGGACCCATGTTTTTTTATGATTGAAGCATTACTGGTGGCTCGGAGGCCTTTCCAGTTTCACCAGGACAGGTGGACGAGCAAGGGCTCAGCCAGGAGGGGACGGCCCCTTGATGTTAACTTAATAAAGGAGGCTTTTTTTTTAATTCGATTATACCGAAATTTCATTGCATTTTCGAGAAGATCTCGAGAAGCTACATCCAGTTTTCTAAATTACCCTCTTTTTTTTTCCTACCTAAGCTGGTAGCCTTGAGAGGCTATTCCAGCGTAACCCTAACGTTAGTAGGTGAGCTCACGGGGCTCAAACCTGATGACGTTGCTAACACGAACCCTAGCAAGAGCCGTGCTTCGCAGAATCTACCACCGGATCGGAAACGCGACCCACTGAAAAGATCCGGCGAGAAACTCAGTGGATTGCGTCTGTGAGTTTAAATTATCCGCTTTTCTAATCCACTATTATTACATATTTAAACTTCAAGAAGTACTAAATTTACAAAACAAAATAATTCACACAAACTCTCTCTTCGTGTTTTCGCCTAAAAGTCAAATTTTCCCGGGCAAAGCTCTTTTTTTAACGGATTTTATGACCCGGTAACTAAGACCTTTAAGTCATGTCTTATTTTAATTTATATTAAATTTTTTATGAAAAATGATAATATGTAGTGAAATGAAAGAAGATGATTAATTTGAGACATTAATCGACTAGGATGAAATGAAATGAGATGAGATGATATGGGATGAAACATAATCTCAGTAAAATGGTAGTCATTTACTGAGATTTTTTCGGTGGACGTTTTGGAGGTTCCCGAGAAGTTACGTCCAGCGTCTTTGTTTAATTTTCCCATATTTGTGCACTTTCACAGATATCAAACAGTTAATAAACCATCATTATTACACATTTGACTTTTCCATGAAGCTAACTAACTAACTGTTCCGGCTGGCTGCTGACAGAAATGAATACAGGAAACTAACAACCAACCTTCAGGATTGAAGAGGCACTGGAAGAAGAAGAAGAAGAATTGCACATTTAAATCTGAAGAAACACTAAATAGACAAAATAAAACAAATCACACTTCACTCCTCGCGTTCCCGCCAAAAAGTCCGAGGAATGACAATTTTATTTGTTTTTTTTCTTTTCTATCGATCATAAAACAATTATAAAATCGATTTTCATACAGACTAGAATACGGTATTTGCTTTTGCCTATTTATTTATGGATTTAGGAATAATTCTAAAGTCATTTCTTAATTCAATCGATTTTTTATTTATTGGCTTCCGGCTGTGTGTTAGGTACTATAAGGTAATAAAAGTGTGATGTGTGATTATTTGATTATATTTATCATTAATATGATATCGATAAGAACATAAAGGGAATTAGATATATCCATTGAAATAAGGAAAAATAATGATTAAAAATAATAAAAAAATACGGTTGTCTGTAAAGTCGGTTTACTGACGATAGTTGAACGTGACTACGTCATAAGAAGATACTGATGGAATGGTTTCATTTTTCAATTATCGCAATAATAATTATCTTTGCTATAAACAATTGACACCACATTCACTTTTCACTGAACTTCATACTTGACGAAAACATGTAAATATATTATTGTATAGCAGCTGTCCACGCGGATGCATCGCTCACTCAAGTAGGAGAGAGACAGATGTCGAACGCTGCCGAACGCGGAGGCCGATTGTGCCTCTTTGTCGCTCGTTGCGCGCTCTCGCTTGTACTTCAAGCCTTAAATGGAACGCCTCAGAGCGAGGTAACGCCGCATGAGTCATGTTTTTTCGTGCCTGCAGCTGGCTCCATCGAATTATAAGACGTCACGTCAAAAACACACGTATAAAAGAGCAAATCAAACTAAATGCTTAAATTTTTTTTAGCTCTAGCTACCTATATTGAGTCACAGTTAAAAAAAATTGTTTAGTCTTTGGCAACGTGTGTAAATTTTCAAATTAGTCGAAATTCAAACTCTTTCGTCACATGTATAGATAAAAGTTAAGCCAATAAATTAGTGGGTTAAATGGACATATTTACTGGCAACTTCAGAGGTTAATGGATTATTTGGTTTAGGAGATCAGTGACTGACTTCAGCCTCTGGTTATTGCTGTCGTCTCGTGGGAATTTCTTGAATAAATTTCCTACCTTTTTATTGACAGTTCCGCGTCGAACCAAAACTTCTTGACCCTTCAAGGGTTGTGAAGACAGTACTTATTTTAATGGGGTCACAGGTTTAATAAAAGATCGCTCTCTCCCTATCTAATCTAGTCTTATCACTAAATACACACATGTGACGTAATGCTCCACTTACATTGTTCAAAACAATTCCGCGCCGTTTATTTTCCTTCCATTTTCAAACACAATATTAACAAAAGAACACACACAAATACACACACACACACAGTTAAGAAAACCGTAAAACTTTAGGAACGATTTTTAAAAAGTTTATTCGATTTTCGAACAACGTAACGTCCGAAGTCATTCGAATTTCAAAAGTGAATATCTGATTCGGTTTTTCGTAAAAATCGTAACGTGAATACCCATTTTATTTAGACCTGCCGATGCTCGTACGTTCGTATTGTTCGGTTACGAATACTCAATGCGAGGCTATAGGGGTAGGTCAACTTATATTGGACATCGTTAAGGACGCGTACAGGTGTGTTTTGCTGTTGAAATTTTTGATGTAGCTCTTACTGTTTTAGATTTAAAGTTTATTTTCCTAAGAACTTAAAGAAAAACCTATTTTTGTTGTTTGTCGGTACAATGGAGTCAGTTGTGATAAGAAACACAGGGGGTTTGAAATTGAAATTTATTGTGTACTATATTAAATATATTTTTGTATTAAAATAAAATGTAAATAGAATTAGGATATAGATAATTAGGGTCAAACAATCTTAAACATGAATCGCGGTAACGACAATTTCAAGATAATCTAAGCGACTTTCAAGTTCTGGACATCAGCATTATGAGCGTCGCCGCGTCGGTCTACTGGGTAATGTCATCCGAAGATATATCTCCTTTGACGTCTCCCACATTGATCCAACTAGCCCTGTCCTCAATTAACTTCGTTAGTATTTCTTCAGGTCTTAAGCACCGAAGGTTCTCTTGCCGACTTCCGCGAAGTCATAGTTAAAATGGTCAAGTTTCACAGCCGTGATACAGTAAAATTCTTCTAATCAAGATGATGGCGTTTTATGTCTATCGGCTATACAGCATCAGATGGGTTAGTTTATGCATCCAGTGCCAAAAATATATTATTTATTAATTTACAACAAAGCGATCATCAATCTAAAAACATTGACAAATTGGCAGTAAGTACAAGTCAGATGTCACCTCAATTAGGTATAGGTGCCATCGACAGTGAAATAGTTGACAACGTTGGAAATATGAGATTCAGAATAATAGTACTTTGTCACTAAGCAACAAATTATTTAATATCCACACTTATTAGAAACTGAAACTTAATTACATTTGCCTCATTATGATTAGTTTATATTTAGTCGGGATAATATGATCCGCGACAGATTTTTCCTGTTTGCAAGACAATAATAATTAGAAAAAAAAACATCTATTTCTTATAATAGTTATTAGAACAACACCCTGTATTCGTGTGCGCGCTCATATGTGTGCGTGCCCACCTGTTACGTGCAACATGTGTGAGTGTGCATACAGCATTATGTTGAGCGGGCGAACCGTAACGCCACTTTGAAAGATGCTCTACTTCGTTCGCGTAACCCATAGAGATAGCCCACTGAGTTTCTCGCCGGATCCTCTCAGTGGATTCCGATTCCGATCCGGTGGTAGATTCAGCGAACCACTGCTCTTGCTAGGGCTAGTGTTAGAAAATTCTTTCAGGTTGAGCTCATGCTCATGCTCATGCTCATGCTCATGAGCTGTATGCTCACTTACCCGTCAAGGCATAGCCATTTAGGCTATCAGTGGATTTAACGGCCGTCTGGTGTAGTGGTAAGTGACATGGTCACTAAACAGGGGGGTCGCGGGTTCGAATCCCGCCAAGGGAAGATATTTGTATGATAAATATAAATGTCTTTTCCAGGTTTATGGATGTATATTAAATATATGTATGTGTATAATAAAAGTCTTACATTTATTTCCGTTATCTGGTACCTGTAACGCAAGTTCTTTACGAACTTAGCACGGGACCAGTTAACGTGGCGTGATTGTTAATAAATATTTATTTATTAATTTAAAAAAAAAAGAAAAGGAGAAAAAAAATTTGCCTATATGACTGGTAGACCTGGTGTTAAGTGGTTACCAGAGTCCATAGACATCAACAACGTAAATTCCGCTATCCACCTAGAGAAATGAGTTCGAAGTCTCAGTTATAGTTTTGCCCTTCAAACCGAAACGCATTACTGCTTCACAGCAGAAAGAGGCAGGGCGGTGGTACCTACCCGTGCGGACTCACAACACGGCCTACCAGCAGTAAAATATTATATCCTTGGCCTCTCCCCTCCAACCGCTACCCGGTATTCTGCTTATATTGATGCTCCACCTTTATACTGGGCTCCTACACTATCTTTGCCAGTTTGTATTCTCCACCCCAGAACTTGTCTAGCCTAATGGTTATCTGATCTTTGTCAGATATGATCGGTCCATTGCCACTTCAGGCAGCTTAACACGTTAACAGTCCGGTGTTACGCATGTGGTACACGGTGAGCGGTTCCGCCGAGTTCGTGTACCCTATGAGGTACACGAGCCGATGTGTTTCTCTACGGGGCCTAGATCCACGGACTTGTCAAATTAGTTAGTGTTTTCTTTGTGGACTTGTGGCCAAGGATCTAATAAATGGAAAAAGTCGAAAACATGTCATACTTTTTTTTAAATTCTTAGTATAGCAACACGACATAAAAAAACTTAGAAAAAAGATACAAATTTTAATTGGTGAACTAAAAGTTTAGAAAAAAAAACAACGCAATATGCTTTTTTTGCAAATTTTACATTGCGTTGATACCCTTTTGGCTTTGGCCTGTGCATATGGAGCAAGTCGACCTTCATCAAGAAGGTTTTGACAGCATCGTCTTCGGATAAATCGAGATTCTTTCTTGCCCAAAAACTCCAAAAAATGTGTCTTTCTCAGCGGCGTAACTTGTCTTTGAACGTTTCATGTGCTGCTAGAATGCTTTTCTCTCCTTCTCTCTTTCGGTAAACCTTTTCTCTTTTTATTGACTGTGCCACAGAGGTCTATATTGCGAGAAAGCATAAATTCTGTCAAAGTGTCGCTCGTGTAGTAGTTGTCAGTTATCATGCAGCGACCTTCATCAAGTAAACCTTCTGCCCATGTTACTACTATACTTTCGGAGGTATCCAAACAAAAAACTTGCACATTTTGACCATTGTAAATTTGGTATCCCCAAGTGTTCTGCAGACCATAGTTTATAGATCTTCATGTTATATTTATGTGTTTGAGGGTATGTATTGGCGGAAAAGTAGTCTGCCGCGAAAGTGTACCATCGATATGGTAATAAACTAACCATACATACGTCTACTGGAACACTCATGAGCCTGTGGTACACGTTAAAGGTACCCGGTAATTTAATTCATAAGTCCGTGTACCGCCCGCTGTACACGGGTATATCCGGGGTCAACGACCATATTTTGTTACTTTTAATGCATCAGCCGATAGGTGGACATCTAATAATGGCCAAAAAATATATAATCACACTTGGACATATGGCGTGTTTCGGAACGCTTGTATAGGGACTGTTAACGTGTTAAGTGCCGTAAGAAGTTTAAACTAAGAATTTAGAAAGAAAGAAAGAAAGAAAGAAAATCTTTATTCGCCAGAAATATAGTTTACAAGATATAGGACATTGCTTCATATATTTCGCCTGTTTAGGCATGCGAAAATTTAATTTATTTTTATATTAATTATAACACAAAATTTACTAAATCTATCTATTTTTACATTCTATCACTTCTTATTCTAATATTTTAGTATGTACAACACTTATCATTTAAAAATTCTTGCACACTATAATAAGCCTTGTCTATTAGCCATAAATATAATTTTCTTTTAAATTGAGTTAGTGGAAGATCTCTTATGCTGTTTGGTATCTTATTAAATATTCTGATAGTCATAGGATAACAGTTTGTATGGTAGTAAAGAGTATTTATACTTGGTAACATTAGTTTAGTAGGGTATCTTGTATTAAATTGACAGTACTCGCCACACGATTTATATAATTGTGGGTGCTTTTTAACAAACAAACAACATTCTTGTATATATATGGATGGTACAGTTAAAATATTATGTTTTTGGAAGAATGGTTTACAAGAAGTCAGAGGATGAATATTGCACATGGCACGAACACATTGCTTTTGTGCAATGAACACTCTATTTATGTGACTAGAATTTCCCCAGAGGGGTATACAGTATCTGATATTTGAGGCGACATATCCATCCAAGAAAATCAAAATTTTAGAATTAAAATTTTGATTTTCTTTTATTGTTTTAATTATAATTAATAACATCAATTTGGTTTAAACATCTTTTGATACTCCGAGTAATAGTTACATACTTGTTTATATGGTTTATTTATGATTCAAATATGTTACAAGGCCATACAAGATCATAACAAGATATTAATAAAATTTAATTGGAATAATGATTAACATAAGACGAAGTGAGCTGAAGCGTCAGTGAGTGATGACGTCAGCTACTGGCACCACGTTGTTTTTACAGATGCTGACGTCATTCTGGGATTGCCTCTTATAGTGGCAATAATTAATACTCACTTTTCCAATGAATTCCATTTATTACATTTCAAGTGTACAACGATAACAACAGAGCTCCGCCTCGTTCGGCTGCTCGAGTTGGAATGTAATGTGCGTTTATTTATTTATTTTCCTACCTAAGCTGATAGCCTCGAGAGGCTATGTTAGCGTAACCTAACAAGTTGGTGAGCTCATGGGTTTCAAACCTGACAAAAAGTAATGTGTGACAATAGTCACTCGTATTTATAATAGATAACGGTAGGTATAACGGTAGGCAGCGGCTTGGCTCTGCCCCTGGCATTGCTAAAGTGCATGGGCGACGGTAACCACTCACCATCAGGTGGGCCGTATGCTCGTCTGCCTACAAGGGCAATAAAAAAAAATAAACATGACGGTAGCTTAGTCATGAATTCTCTTGAATACCATCTTAAACAATTGCTTACACGCCTTGGATTTATGATAGTTAACCAACGGAATCAATATTATGGAAACAGTTAACTTTAACTAAGCTTAGTTAGCCAAATAGTAATGTTGCGCCGATATATACATTCACTTTTCTTGTCAAGATATACACAGCTCTAATTTTGCTCAATCTTTGCTTTGCACGTCTCTTGTATAGACACACATCTATTACACATGTCGGTGACGCGAACTCACAAGATTTTTCATTACCGAAAGTCCTCAACGCGGCTAAAGAATTATATCACTTCAAAAACAATAAAAAAAAACCCTCACCGTTAGAAATTTTAGCAGAGCATCATTCATACGGTT